AAAAAAAAAAAAAAAAAAGAATTCTATTTTTCTATTTATGATATTCCATTATAAATGTTATCAATTTATTTGATCAATCCACTATAGTTGAAAATTTGAGTTGCTTTCCATTTTTTATTCTAATTATTTTCTCTACTCTTGGTTCATGGAGAAATTGGAAATGAGCTTATTTTTTCTTCTTTCTCACATGAAGGAAGTTAATAATATAAGTTATAATAAATAACTTTTAATATATATTATATTAATATATATGATAGCTTATTTGACTTTATATAGTACCATATTGTTTGCAAAGTGCTTTTCACAGGCACTATCTAATCAAATCTTCATAACAACTAGAAAGAGTATAATTTTATCCTTACTTGCTAGATGATGCTAAGAGATTGAGGCTAAGAGATAGGAAATAACTCTTTCAGCTTCTAAATAATAGATCTGGAACTCAGGTCTAGATCTTTCCACTATACAAACTTAGTTTTATTTGATAATTTTTAGCCAAATAAATGTTTGAGCTTTAACAGTTTTCCTTTCTTCTCTGGCTTGTATTAATCCCCTTTGGTAGCCTTTGCCTCCAAAAGGGTCCCTTAATTATACCCTGGGTTAGTGTTTTCCCTTTCTACCGTATACTTCCTCTTTATTTTTATTTATTTATTTATTTTGAGACAGAGTCTCACTGTGTCACTCTGGGTAGAGTCCCATGGTGTCACAGCTCACAGCAACCTCCAACTCTTGGGCTTAAGTGATTCTTTTGCCTCAGCCTACCCTCCCAAGTAGCTGGAACTACAGGTGCCCACCACAGTGGCCTGGCTATTTTTTGGTTGTAGTTGCCATTGTTGTTTGGCAGGCCTGAGCTAGATTCAGATCCACCAGCTCCAGTGTATGTGGCTGGCGCGCGTCCTAGCCGCTGAGCTACAGGCTCTGAGCTACAGGCGCTGAGCCTACACTTCCTCTTTAACATGCACTCATTCTCTTTAATAATGGGCTAGGGAAGATGAATCTTTTTGGCACCGCTCAACATCACCTTTAAACCTCAGGGATTCTAAGGTACTGTAAAAACAGTTTGGGTCTTTTTTTTTTTTTTTTTTTGAGACAGTCTCCAGCTATCCTGGGTACAGTGCCATGGCATCACAGCTCACAGCGTAGTTGAGACTGTAGGCGCCTGCCACAATGCCTGCCTATTTTTTGGTTGTAGTTGTCATTATTGTTTGGCAGGCCTGGGCTGGATTTGAACCGCTTGAGCCAAAGTTGCCGAGCCTATAATTTTTAACTTAAGATCATGCATGTGTTTTAGTTGTTTTGTACTTAATGATTATCCTTTGTCATGTCTGCTTCTTAAACTTGCTTTCCAGTAGTTACTGAATATTCCATTAAGAATTCTATTTTTCGGCTCGGC